GGTGTGGAGGGGGGGGGGGGGGGTGGGGGGGGGAGTCAGTCAGAGGTCTCTCACAAGTGAGACACAAAAACAAAACTCCTCCTTGACATGGCCCCTGACTGAGAAGGAGTAAGAACTCCCCACATCCCCCTTGCATCCCAGAGTCTAGTGGGCCCCACACTAGTAGATTGTGTGCTTTAGCCCTGCAGAGGATCAGCAACAAGCTGGAGTGCCAGCATGGGCTCCTCAATGCTGGGAGGAAGCCCTGAGCCTCAGGGGCCAGATCCAGTTCCCAGGCCTTAAGTTCCCCACCCCTGATCTAAGGGCTCCAGAAATATATGGTTAAAATATTTGCTTGCATGAAATACTTAAGTCACAGTTAAGCATGGCATTTCAATCTTGCAATTTGGATACTATGTTCCTTCAGTATGGATCTACTCATCAACTGCATCTCAGAATCAACTGCCTACACAGCACAGCTTGGAACTTCCTGGTCCAGCACCCTCAGGACCTGTTTGGTCCCATATGAGGGAATTTGTCAAACCAGGGGAGGTCCCCTACCACAGCCCACCACCCAGTTCTGTCGCCAGCTCATTCTGTCTCACCAGGGCTGCCTGTTGGCCATCCCCAGCCCTGCTACAGCTCCAGCTAGGTTGCCTTGTCCTTGGCCCTTGCCCTGACCTCACATAGCCACTGCCAGGCTCCCCAGTTGCTGACTCTCCTGCCACAGGTCTCTCTCATCCAGGAACATCTGTGGCTATGGATGTTGCCAGACCAGAGAGGTGCAACCTGTAAGTCTCGTTCCCATGTTCTTTCAATTCCCAAATTACTAATTGTGAGGAAGAGATAAGTCAACTGATACTTTAGTTTAACTTCAACTTTTACATGCTTTGTTTACTGGTGCAAGGTAAAGACGTCATATTACAACTGATGTACGTACAACATTAATGAAAATATTAATGTTCAAGTTAGCTATCGGTTAATTGAATAGTTGACTAACCACATGAATTCTAAGTAGTTAGTCAACTATTCTATAGCCTGCAGGGGTGGGGCCAGCATCCAGCATAAGAGGCAACAGCTTGGGGGGCCGGGCAGGAACCAGTTTGCAAAGGGAGCCAGTTTAAAGCCAGCTCCCCTTGGACCGACTGCCTCTGATACAGAGGCAGCAGCAGACCCTGTCTGCAGGGCGTCCGAGCTTCCCACGGACAGAGGCTGCTGGGAGGAGGGGACTGGGGAAGTTGCTCTACAGCAGCCAGGGCTGGTGACAGACAAGAGGCTGCTCCAGCAGCAGCTCCT